CTCAAAATTCTCGCAAGCACTCATGTACCATTGCGCTCGTTACGCCTCATTCTCGTGGGCTGGCGAGCCACCCTCGGATCCAATCGACGGTGACGGTGTCACCGGAGACGTAGTCGAAGGCTGGGAAACGACCCCACTTGAGTGTCTAGAGCTCGCGTACTCAGCAGTGCAGCGAGAACGACTTGTAGATGCCGGTTCGTGCTTCTTATCTTACAGCTTGAATCGCTGGCTGAGTGCATTTCTAGGCTCAAGCACTGCGACGGTGCTAACTCTGAACGCACACAATGGCTTGCTCAGGGCGGCAAAGTAAGCAACGGCGCGCTCTACCAACTTTGCACTAACCACCTACCTACAGCCTCGGTGATTCGGGCTTTATCATACTTCGCTCGGGCTCAGTATTGTATCACCAAGCGCCGCAGACGCATAGCTTCAATTTCCCGAGGCAATTGTCCAAGTGGCCACTCTCGATGAGCGACCGTGCACCACATCGGATTAGCGACACGCCACGCGCGGCAGACGCGTATTCGACCAGCTTGCGGACAGGCGACATCATTGTTCTCTTTACGGACGGCATCTCTGACAACGTCTTCGATGTTGAAGTGCAATCAGTTGCTACGCTAGCCTCGCGCACAATTGCCAGCGGTTCCAGCACGCCCAACGCAGCGGCAGCAATGGATCCAGTCCCGTCCGCAGGGGATGAAGACTCCTTTTATGCTAGCTGGCTGCAAAAAGCATACAGCGAAGCAGCGCGGACCGACGAAGCGCGGACGGCACAGGCCATCGCGGACCGCTTAGTCGAGTACGCAGTCGGTTGCATGTGGAACAAGGACCGCGTGTCGCCGTTCGAACGCAATGCGGCGCGGTCGGGCGTACCGTGGAGTGGGGGCAAGCCAGACGAGTGAGTACAAGCGTTCCCTTGATTTGGCTGCGGAATCGCTGACATTCCTGTGTACCTGTTCGGTTAGCGCAACAGCAGTTGTAGCAATTGTGAGCGAGGGCATGTAAGAGATACACATACTCGGTGATGTTCGCATTTGTATATATTACCACATGGACCGTGATTCGCCGAGGTTACCGTTGGAATGACCTTTCCTAGTTTGGATGGTAGGGGCTTCAACCGACACCGAGGACGCCGAGGCACTTGTTCCCAAAACCGCGGGAGACCGATGATGTCCTCTCGCACTCTCTCTTCGCTTTGTCCGTTTGAGCCCGCGTGAGCTCGTAGACGGTGCTCGCGCGCACGCTCAGCATGGCATTCAAAGCTCGGTTCCTGCTCTGGTCGCTTGCAAAGGCTTTGGTGCTGCCACCACTTATTGCACACCATGTTCTGCGCACTCTCCCGCTGTACGGAATCCACCTCCCGTTCCCGCGCCTCGTCTATGCGCTCGCCATGATGTTTTCTATCCCACTTGCGCAGCGTATCCGCGCACTTCCAGAGCAGCGCGCCAAGGAGGCTGCTATGCGCGCACGCGGCGCTGGTCCCATCCCCAAGGTCCAGGGCAGGCTCCCTGGCAACATCGATGTACTCTGGGAGCTCGTCACGCACGACGGTCAGGAATATGTCGCAGAAACATTCCGCAGACACGCGGAGAGGTATGGACCGACATTCGACATGGGCATCCTCTGGGCGAGCCAGGTGCGCGCCAGCTCTCTCTCGTTTCGCGCAACCCACCTCCCAAAACTGACGGCTTGGTTTTTGTGCTCGTGTTCTATCTCACCATCTTGCCGATACGTCCGTGATCGCCGTATCTCACTGCCCGACAACCCCGAACTTGCGCTATAGATCGTCACAGGTTCGTGTGCGGCATGCTGCTGTCATCACTGAGATGCTGACCTAATGTAGTCGACCCTGCAAATGTTCAGCATGTCCTTGCCACCAACTTTATTGACTTTCAGAAGGGTGTCAAGTTCAAGGAAATATTCGACACTTGGCTCGGGGCGGGCATCTTTACCACAGACGGCGACCAATGGAAACGACACCGCTCTTTACTCAAACCGTTCTTCTCCCGCGAACGTGTAGCTGACTTCCGCTGCTTCGAGACACATGCCGACAAGTTCGTGCACGTCTTTGCCATGTTCGCGATGCACGGCGATGCCTTTGATGTCCAGGTTAGTGCAATCGCTAATCGTCCTCCCCGCCTCCTGATGCTTTCCTTCAGGAATTGTTCGGAAGGTTCACCATGGACACCGGCACTGACTTTCTCTTTGGTCACTGTGTCCGCTCACTGGATGCGCTCCTATGCTCAGCCCCAGGGGACTGTATGGACCCAGCAAACGCAGGCATTCCTGGCAACCCGGACCCGTTCGGAGCCTTCACCGAAGCCTTCACATTTGCGTCATTTGTTGGCGCGACTCGCGTGCGCATCGGCTCGCTATGGCCGGTATTTGAAGCATTCGGGGACAAAACTGTGCCGGCAGTCAAGATCATTCGTGGTCTCATCGACCCGATCGTTGCAGAGGCTCTTGCTCGAAACAAGGCTGACGGCAACAAGAAGGACATGGATGAGATGACTTTCCTGGACTGGATGGTTGAGCAGATGGACGGTGAGAAGCTCCTGCTATTGTTGAATGTTCGCTGATCCCTCCCTTTGCAGATGTCGACGAAATCCGTGCAGAAGTTCTGAACCTCCTCCTCGCCACGCGAGACACGGTATGAAACTGTTCACCACAAGATAGCGTGGGTTGCTGACCAATCATCACATAGATGGCTGCGGTTTTAACCTACACCACATACTGCTTGGCGAATCATCCGCATGTGGAGAGGAAACTGCGAGAAGAGATCGAGCGCGTCATGGGCGATGGTGACCGAGTACCCGGCCCCGAGGACCTGAAAAAGATGCGATATCGTGCGTTTTGCGTTTGTCGGAGGTTTCCAGCAACTTACAATTACCATTTAGTGCGAGCAGTCATCAATGAAGTTCTGCGTCTGTTCCCTCCCGTGCCTCTCAACATTCGCCGTAGTGAGTCGGCTCGCCACTATGCATGATCTCGCTCTCATGAAATGAAATCATAGGCGTAAATGACAGCACACTGCCCTCCTCCCTTTCTGGACACCCGTTATATCTTCCCGGAAACACGTCTATCACATATTGCTCGCTGTTACTGCAGAGGCGAGAAGACGTGTGGGGCCCTAATGCGTTGATGTTTGACCCAGAGCGCTGGTTATCACCTGAAGGTGACGATGAGGCTATGCGGAATAAGGTGCACATCGCGAACCCTTTCGCATTCCTGCCTTTCAACGCCGGGCCGAGAATTGTATGTGATCTTCTTCCAATCATGACCTGTAGCAGCTCACTGTCACCATATCCAGTGCCTTGGCCAACAGTTTGCATACGCGGAAACCAGCTTCATGTTGGTACGGATGATGCAGAAGGTGGCCTCTTTAGAGCTCGCCCCAGATGCTCAACCCGAAGGCTCGCTCCCTCCTGCTGAATGGGCAAGTTCGAAGATCGGTCGCGAGCGTTTCGAGCGCATCCGCCCCGTCAGTACGCTGACGATGAGCGTCAAGGTGCGCTTATTCTGTGATATAACTGTGCGATTCGCTGAACGTAGCTTTTAGGGAGGCCTTTGGATTCGTGCGCAGATGAAGGACGGATATTCCGGCTTGAGCAGCGGCCAATAATGAAGACTGCGCCGGCCGCGTGTCTAGACAGACCAGGTTTACATACCTCTCGTGCACCCGTATATGTACCACATCTCGCATGCTTGCAACATATTCGCAATTGTATTTTGCATCCGAATTGGCACATTTGTGTCCCTCCATGTCGGAGTTGACACGCCGCTTCTTCCTCCCTTCTTCTCTCTTTTTTTGAGTTCTAGAACCAATTCACCGATCGCAGCGGATGGCATCACTGCTGCCTGGATACATTCATGTTGACCACTTTGGCAATGACTCTGAATACGAGTCTGGCGAGGAGGAAGTTGCTTATATCTCGCTCGACCTTGTCCAGGCCGAACCGCAGCTGATACCTCAGACATCATCCTATCGACTTGCCGGTCTTGATACTCCAACACCGTTTCTGCAGCTACAAGGCACAACTTTCAGGGGAGAGCATGTTGAGCTACTTGGTAGCGAGATTATCTTCACCAACGGCCGAGGTTAGCTAGCAGATGAGCAGTGTCGCGTCTGGCTCATCGCATTTGTTTTTGCCACCCGCAGATATTGCCAATCCTTCCCATCGCTTTGTAGTTCCGCTTTCCACGACATCGACACGCATTCGCTTTCACGAGGTTTCTGTTAGGGCACCTGACCAGGTCGAGGCGGAGCGTCCACGACCCAAGACCCTCAGCCAAAAGCAGAAAGCGCAGCGGCATGCGCGCATAGCTCGGGTTCTGGACTCTTCTACTCCGAGAAAGCGACGATCTCGCAAGAAGAAAGGCTTTGATGACGAGGAAGCCGACGATATGCATGTCGACCAGGACGAAGCAGTCCCCGACGACGACGAGCAATCTGGAGCAGACAGTGATGCATATGTTGAGGCAACTCCTCAGGCTACAACCTCGCCGCAGCCCAAGCCACGAGCGTCTCGAAAAGCCAAAGAGAAAGCCAAGGAGTCCGTGCAGGCAGCTGCAGCTGCAATGAACATGGCGGAAGAGCACAATCAAGATGACTAATGAGAATCACATTGCGTGTATTTGACTTATAGTGACCTTAGATTGCGACTCACACCGTTGTTTCAACACCCAGCAAGGAAGTCAGCTGCAGGATACCTTACAATAGCAAGAGAAGTACATCAACATAGCTTTAGCATTGTTAGCGGTGTGAAGTCACAATATCTGCGGGCCTCAAGTGTAACGTTGTATTGCGAGACGATGCTGAACGAGAAGTTGGTGCGAGTTTTGCTCTTACAGTAACACCTCTCGGTTCGGTGAACTAAAAGTGAGGCGCGGGCGAAAACCCGTATTGAGAGCGCTACAGTTTCCTAGGGAATGAGGATTGTTAAAGCACTATTCAATGGCACAAAGTATTATAATTTATAACATTGCAGAGACGACAAGAAGGGCTTATGGCGCAGTGGTAGCGCGTACGCTTTGCATGCGTAATGTCCAGGGTTCAATCCCCTGTGAGTCCATATCTTTTTGCTGCTACCTTCATGGCCTTGTTTTCTGCTCTTGTTTTGAGTCATCCAATAGCGTCATTCAGCGGCGCTGTATGAACGTGTCTGACCTGAAGGCTGACTTCCACAGAGACCATTTTACACCGTTTACGGCGGATATGTCCGAGGACTGACCTATGGTGGTAGTTCCATGAATGCTATGAATGCTGCAGCGGCATCCACCGACCTACTTGCAAGTCCTCGCTTCATGTCCGACAAGACGCGTCACGCGCTTGAATTGTGCGCACAGACAGCGGCAGCAGCATATGACGCGCTGCAGGCGGTAGATGAACCTGCTTCAAGCAAAGATGCGGAGATATTGCGTAAAGACTTCTTGTCGATCCTCACTTTACTATATGCCGCCGCAACCAAGATCGCACTATCTCTAAAGCCTCCCAACCCGGACTACCAGGCGTCCCTGCGTCCAATCACCGATATGGGTGGCGCGTCTGTTGCACTGTCTGCCTGCGCGTCCCAATTTACAACGCATCAGCATGGTCCTGCCATGCGACGGAAAGTGCGATCGCTCGCAGGAAATGTTTTACATGCTGCGCGGCATCTATGTTCGTCCCTGGCAAGCGATTCTGGCGACATCTACGTGCTCACCGGTGCGGTGCACGATTCGGTCGACCGAGCGCGAGAGCTCCCAGAATCCGAGCTTGCTACGATCCGTGCAATCTTTCGTACCAATCAGGCCTGCTTAGACGATGGACTCCCCGAGCTCAAGGAACTCATTGAGGGCAGCGAAGATCCCGATGATGGTTGGAATGATCTCGAGGACGAGTTGGGAGACGATCTTACGTCTAAAACGTTGAGCGTAGAAGAGCGAGCGCGAGTGTCTACGGTGAGTCCTTGCATTGCCCCCGGGCGAGATATTCTCTGAAAGTGCAACAGCTCTTCCCTTTAATCAAAATCACTACACAGTTGCACAAAAAGATCCTCTCGGACTGCTTGGCTGTGTCCCTGGAGCCTCCACTCCCCCTGCCGAGACTTGCCGCACTGGAACCGCTCTCAACACAACTCCTCACTCATTTCGAGGATGCTGTGAGCTCGCTGTATGGCCCACAGAACCCTACAGCGATAAACGATAGCATGACAGTACTGCTCGCAACCGCAGCAGACATGCGAAGACAGCTGCAGCCCGCCACCGATTCATCATCGACCGACGTCTCAGATCAACTGCAAAATCTGAACATCAGTGATGTAGCTCCAGCTCTGCCAGAGAAGACCAGCAAGTGGCTTCAGCTATGCTTTGCTCAAATCGATCAACTATCCTCGAAATGTTTGCCAGTGACCTAACGGGTTGATTTTATTGCGCATACCAATGGAACGAGGGTCACATCGCAACAGAAACCGGACGCATCAGAACTTGAAGTCGGCGATTTTCACCGCTGAGGACGTCCCACTGGAGCTGAGCTGATACAAGACACTCACGATCCGTTCGCTGGCAATCCTTGATCTGTCGAGCGTGATCTCACCAAAGGCATTAAGGCCGGCCGACTGGCCGTTGTAGAGTAAGGCCCAGTCCGTATAGTTTGATGCCTTGGTTGCGCCCATGATGCGAATAAACGGCAACACAACGTAGGCGTTGTCCGAAGAGTCGAGGAAGATTTGAGAACGGCCGACAGACTGGACGGCCTGTGGGATTTCAGTTTTGGTCCAAGTGCCAGCCGACGAACGCCACACGTGAAAGGCGTAGGCGTTTGCGAGACGGCCGGATTCATAGCTCGTTATACACTGCCCGAAACGACCTAACACGAAAGAATGAACATGGTGCCCGGCTACACCACAAAGGAGATACCAGCTCACCTGGAACGTAACTGATCACAACATGCGGTAGATTCGTCGAGTCTGCAGCCTGACTTTCTTGGTTCATGAGTGCATGGTCTGCGTTCAAAGAGTCGACTATAATGCCTGAAGCACCAACAGCGATGGGCGAGCTGCCTGAAGTTCCAACTTTAGTGCCCGCAGAATTGTACCAGCTCCGCCCTCGATCGTCGCTGCACTGTTGTTAAGCACCGTCACGACGACCCAAGAGGTACATACCTGTAAAAGTAGACGGTGTCATGATTTGTCAAGTCGCCGCACGAAACTCCTCCAGTTTGCTCGCGCCAAGTGCCAGCAACATGAAGGCGACCTGTTGAAGAGTACGTGAAGCCATGTATATAGAGCTGCGCTCGCAAAAACCATATTAAAACCATTACCCGACTGTTCGCGGTTCTGACTTACGTTCCGCACTGTGCTCACAACTCCGTTGGTCGAGGTGTAGCTTCCGCTGGCAGACGACCACTGGCCGACGCTTGACCAAGCTGAGCCGCTCCATTCCGCTAGTTGAGCGGCGCCATTGCCCGACACGCCAGATCGATAGATAAACTGGAGCTTGTTATCCGGCGTGACCGCAAATTGGGGATATGTGACAGTCGTCCCGATATTGAGGCCACCCAAGGTCGTGACAATCGACCCAAAGCTTGACGCCGCCCATGTCTTGGAGGCAGGGCTGTTGGCAAGTCCTGCTGTGGATTTGGTGTAGTACAGTGTAGTGCTATGACAATCCATGGCGACGTGAATAGTGCCATCTGCGGGTGAGATGCCCAGCGACATCACATTGTGCGAGTCATTTGCTGACAAAGTGTGAGGAAGCGATATCGACGCCCATGAGCCGCTGGGTACAGCGCGGCGTGCGAGCATCGCAGATCTAGAGGATGAATACCAGGCAGCATACTGGTATCCTTCATACTAAACCTGCAAATGAGTTGCGAGTGTGACGCTGGGATACAGTACGTGCCGTCAGGACTGCGTTTTGTTGGAAAGAGTTCACGTTGACAAGACCATCGTAGGAGACAAAGTAGATGCCGCTGTTGTCCAATACTGTGTTTGAGGACAGAGAGACAGAGAGCGCGCGGCCAAGGGGCGCAAGCAGAAACAGGCAGGCGAGGACCGTCACTAGCATAATGGCAGTGCTCAGCTAGGAGCGAGATGAGCGCGAGAGCGGTTGACTATTTCAACCCGTTCTTATTGCGCGACATTCTTGCGAAGGTTCGAAGTTGGGTCATGCGACGTTCGAACTGATCAAGAAGCTGAGTCAATTATCGATGCCAGCGAGGCCGTTTGGACAAATTTACAACTGAGCGCCGAGCATTCGTTCTTGCGACGACATCCAGTATCAGAACTGGTAGAACAGGGCCAAAGGACGCGTTCACCGAATGCCGACGCCGGCCGCCAGTTTCCGGCTTCTGTGCTTCGTTCACATGCAACGTCTCTTGCACGTGCTCTGTGCGACGGAACCCTGTGTGCGCATGCGTGCCTTTCACACATGAACCGCAGCGGCACCGGTGGGACACAAACTAACCCTTGCCGTCGTCAGGGCAGCTTCATTTGCCGCAGCGTTTGGTAGTGATGTGTGCTGTGCCCCGCGCAGCCGATGTCCGTCCGTGTTTCTCTCTTCTCTCTGTCTCTTCTTCACGCTCGGCGAGGCGTGTGCGAACTTGTCCCACGTCAAGGACCTCACCCGGTGGCCAGTGTGGAGCCGGAAGCCATTACGAAGGTCTCCCACTTACCCCTATCTCGTTGACTACTTCATGAAGTGGACCATTGTGCTCCTGGCCGTGCTCGCTCCTGCACTCGCGCGTCGGCACTTCGACTTTGCCAACTTTTCGTCTGGTGCTCGTCTGCTGCCGGTTAAAGAAGGTGCATTCAAACCTTACCGAGAAGTAACATGAACACTCAACTTGCGATATATCACTCAGCGCCTGCACATGCGGTTGTTGATAAAGTGTGCGGCGGGGCCTCAGTTGCACACACCGTCAGCGGGGTTGCTCTGCGTGAGGATGGCGTGAAGATCACCATGGGCACTTGTTCGCCCGGCCTGCGAGGTTCCAGCCGTGGTCTCGATTCCCGCGCAACCAAAGTACCTCTCCCAGACAGCCGCGAGGCGGGAGACGAGTGTGCCACACCCTGTCGTACTGTATGCTTCAAGGGAACGCAGAGTCCTGTGTCAGCCGATTGCCAGGTCGTGTTCAATGCTCTCGCAGAAGGCAATAGTGCGTCCAATAGGTCTATCCGTGAATGCACCGATCTCATCTCTTGATCTGCAGAAAACTTCACTCTTCCCAACAACAACTTTGTTCTTTATACCTATCAGACCTGTGGCACGAGCTTTACAGTGCGGTTTCTCAATCCGGCTAACACATCCAGACCCTTACATCACTTTACAGAACCAAATCGCGGGCGGCACCGAACCTCAGGAGTTGTCCTCGTGTTACAGTGAGCTGCCCCTTCCCTGTATGAACCCCTCTCATGCAGCTTCAAAGGTGACTGGAAGACCGTCGGTCAAGACATTGCTAGCCAATGCACGTCTGACGCAGGTTTCGCCGGTGGCAAATGTGTCGCTCGCTATGGATCTTTTGTCGCTGTGTGTTGCATTATAGTATATCTCCACTGCACAAAACTGACTTTCCGTGCAGGTGCCGGATTGGTATCTCATGGTTTACAATACCTGATTCGGTGTATGTTTATTTGGATGGTTCACAGCTGGTAGTCACTGCGCTGAGTCGCACAGGACATGATGACAGAATTGACCGACTTGGCTCTCCTGAGCCTCGTGCTAGCGAAACGTTTTGACTGCGGCTAGGAGCTGAACAGTCGGCGTGAAGAACTCACATGGTCTGTCGAAACAGGGTGCAGAAATTCAGCAATCGATCGACAACAGGACATGCATCGTTCGGTCTTCGACTTGAGGAAAGAATGAAAATAATTATTGTAAGATGAAGCAGACAAAAGGTGCAACCCCTGAGGGTATACAAAGCTGCAATGTCTTGTCTCGAAACAAGCGTCGAGTTTATGGAGTGAATCGAGCAGAAGCTGCATGCGATAGCACGGGAGTGTCGTTGCTTAGTTGGGGGTGACGTTATCTCCGTACTGGTCCGCATAGTTGCCAGGAGGCGTGTACATGCAGCTGTGCAGACGCCAGGTAGGAC